GTCTTTGCTCTGTCGTTGCATCAGGCTATGAACTAGTGATCCTTTCTTAGGATTTTGCATGAGGGCGCTCTCAGATCAGGAGGAGAAGGTGACCGCGAACCAGAGCATGTTGGAGGTGGACAACTAGCTGGCCACGTTGATCGCCTCCGGTCAAGCCCTTTGTGATGTTGTGCTTGGTGTCGGGCGGGGGAGTGCCCAACTGTCTCTTTGTCTTGATGAGGCTTGTCTCCATGTGGATTCCCTGATTTCTAGGGGTGCTCGCCGTGGCGCTCACGCCGCCTTGGTGTCAGTCAGGTCACACTACGGCGGTGTGGATTTCAAAATCATCAGGTGAGGGCACACTCCGAGGAGATCCGAGGGCGACATCCTTGCTATTGAAAGTGTTGTTGCTCCAATCTTCTAGGGTGTAGGATTTTGTCATGGACATCTATGGCTCTATGGACAGTCGATTTGTAACGAACATGTTTGGTTTTGCTTGATGGTTAGGTGATCGGCGCGTTCTTTTGCCGTTAGATTACCTCATTGTTTGGGTTGGAATGTACTTCATCCCCTTTGGCCCCATGCTCGTGGGTGCATAATTTAGCTTGGGCACCGGTCCACGGGGTTTAGAGGGTACGCAGTCCGTTGGACCAGCATGATGTCGAGGGTAGGTTGTAGATCCGGCTCGACGTGAAAAGAGAATGAACAGGCAGCTCGGTCGCTGGGGCGATGGCAAATAGCGTTGTGTCATGGGTCATGTGCGCAGAGAGTGTAGCCCCCATGAGTGAGCCATGTCTGGCTGCGAGCGTGAACCAGATCGAGTCACTCGGGAGTGGCGTGCTACTAGGACATATTGTGTGGGCGTCATGTTATCTAGTTTGCTCTACGGGTTGGCCTTAAGCTTCTGTGACTATTGGTGAGCTTATATGTGTATGTGGACATGCTTATGTGGTGAGGCTAAGGTCAAAATAGATGCGACTGATCAACGTACCGGAAGTTGCTGATGACCTAATCACCATAGCTCGGGGCAGTTTGAGTCCTCGAGCACCGGCCCATGGCAAGGTTGCGGCTCGTGGCGCCACGAGCCCCCCAAGCATTTGCTTGTGATGGAGTTATCGTAGTCCCTAGGTCGCAGGCTAATGGAGACACTTCTTCACCGCTTGAGGTGGTCATAGTTGGCGTGGATTGGCCTCTCAAGCTGCCTCAGGCCGATCCTTGCTGACTTGATGCCCTCGAGGAGCCTATGTGCCCCTAAGGGTGGCTTCTTTGCTCCCAACATGTAGGGGCTCTTGGCCCGGAGAGCTTGCGTGTTTTGGCGCTTGAGTCTTCTTGGCACGACGACGTCGCTGTCGTCGCGTCTCCGCTTCAGAGTGAAGCTACCGCTTCTGGTGAGGGACCATTGTGACCTGTCGCTATGGAAGCTGGCTTTGAGCGCGGCTCACGGTGTGCTTTGAGAGCCCGCTTCCTCGGATGCACGTGCCTTCGAGTGAAGGCTGGCAATCCTCCGAAGCGTGTCGTGCGGCTGGTTCACCACGTAGGATCGGATCCTGGTTTTGGGCTTGACCCTGCGTGGTGTGATGCCAGTCGGTGGCTTGATTTCTGACGATGATGCCGCGTGGCGCGTGGGTAGTTTCGTCATTTGTGCGCGCTCTAACTCGCTGCGTTCCAATGGCAGAGACACTGTTCGAGGCGTGTTTCTACCGTTAGGTCCAGTTTTGCCATGTGACGGGCTTGGACCGGGTAAGAGCTTGTGACGGGCGTTGTTCCGCTGGCTCGGGTGATCTCATGGTTCCCTAAGTGGACGTGGCCACCACGGATCATTCCCCGGGCGAGGTCACCATGAGCCACGACCGTCTGGCTCCCTGGGTGGAAGTCTTGACCATGGCTGGTGATGAGAGAAGGCCCCAGGCCCCTACGTAGGTAAACTCTAGGACACAGCCCCATAGACAGTTCCGAGAGTGCGCCCACCATAGGCCGTGGGACCCAGATTCCCGAGGTGGAGGTATAGGCCATGGCCAAGGGTGGAAGCGGGCACCGGCCCTTTGGTGTGGTTAATCGCGTGGTTCCCTAAAAGGATGTGGCCGATCGAGGCCATTCCTCGAGGGAGTTCATCGTGAGCCGTGGTCCTTTGGTTTCTTGAACGGGAAACCTGGTCACGGCTTGCGACGAGCGAGGGTACTGGCCCCTCTAGGTTGGTGTACTCCGGGATGCAGCCCCGACAACTAGTTTCGGAAGTGTGTTCACTGTTAGCCATGGTACCTAGATTTCCAAGGTGGAAGTCTAGACTGTGGCTGAAGGTGGATGCGAGCGCTGACCCTTTGGCGCTAATGAACCCATAGATTTAACGATGAATGTGACTGCCATGGGCCATTCCACTAGCGAGTCCACCAGTGGTGCGAGGAGCCATCGCTTCCTTCCTCAATCAAACGAGAGTGCATGACTATCCCCTACCTGGCACGCTAACTGTCGTGTATTTGAGCATCACGCGGCCTAATATTAGAGGAAGGGATCATGATCGCCCCTGGTCCTAGCGCCTGGCCTGCTGAAAGGATCTAAACAATGCCTAGAGGGGGGTGAATAGGCGTATCTAAAAATTTCTATGTAAACTCAAAGTTAAATATTAGTGATAGTCGGAAGTTCCAACTGTTTGGGCCAGAACTTCCGGCAGCCGGAAGTTCCGACGCAAACAGCCAGGAGTTCCCGCACCTACGTGAAATTCACTACAAGTGCTAAAATAAACTTTGAGTGAAAGATATCTTACAACCCCACTCCCTAGTGGTAAGGTGAAATGCTATGGTTGCTCCTTTGACGCCGGAAGGTCACCACTCTGTAGATCGAGTCCAAACCCTAAGAGGAGAGTTAGAGAGGACGACAAACCAACAAGAACAAATATGATAGAACAAATCACAACAACAACAAGCACGTGGGACACAATGATTTATCCCGAGGTTCGCCAACCTCACAAAGGAGCTTCTACGTCCTCGTTGTGGAGGTGACCACCAAGGTCGGAGTCTCTTCCACCTTCTTGCCACTCTCAAAGCAACCACAAAGGTTACTTGAGCTTTTCACTAAGAAATCAAGGGTGATACAAACTTCCCAAGGCTCTTCCACAAGATGGAAGCTCTTGGATGACGCCTAGCCGGTTAGGGTTCCAAGAACCCAAGAGTAATAGACGCAAATCCAACCGGCTTGACAAAAAAAATCAAGTGCTCAAGCTTGCCAAAGTGATTCACTCACTCAATCTAATCTCCTTTCACTCAAAACCCTAAGGAAATCAAAGATTGGAGCAAAGAGGAGAGGAGAGGGGTGCCTTGAATGTTTAGGAGCTATTTTGGACGAAGGATGGTGAGCAATGAATAAGTGGTTCTCGGTTAGAAGAGAGGAGAGAGATATTTATACTCATAGTGAAATCCAACCGTTCAGATCTAGGTTGAAAGTTCCAACATAGATCGTTGGAACTTTTGGCCCTTTGTAAAACACTGTTCAAGGCGCAGTCAAAGGTGGTCAACACAGCTAGAGCCAGAACTTCTGGCGGAACGCTGGAACTTCCAGCAGTCGGGACTTCCAACTCACGTCGGAACTCCTGACCCAGAGCTGAGCTAGGGGGCTAAGTCCCAAAGCGCCGGGACTCTTGACTCCCGTTGGGAATTCGACGGGCGAGCGAGCGCAAGGGCGGGCTGACGGCTAAGTCCTCAAGTGCCGGAACTTCCGACACCAAATGCCGGAATTTCCAACGGTCGAAACTCCCGGCTCACCTGTGACTTCTGACTATCAAAAGTCAAAGAACTATATCTAAGTGTTCGTGAGGTGATTTTATCTCTCTTTTGTTTTTATTTTTATGCTTGAGCACTCTATCTTTCTCACACCACCTAAACTTGCATCCCTCTTTATAGTACGGCATACCTAAACCCAAAACAAAATTAAAAATGCTTGAAGCGCGCTTTGGGTTTGTTCGCCTTTTGCACTTGAAGAATTGAGGGATACCATTTCATCTTAAATCAATTCTTTAAAACTTTCAAGTGACTAAAGCTGCAATATATCTCATTAAGATCTCATTAGTCCCTAATTTGGATGTCATCAATACACCAAAACCCACATATGGGGCAAATGCACTTTCACCTACTCTGCTCTGCTTTTGCTGGGCCTCGGTTGTTTGGGCCTTTGCTAGCTGCTGTGTTGTGGACCATGCGGCCCGCTAACTAATCGGTGCTCTGAGACACCCTAGGGTCATGACCTCGACAAAACTTTTCCAATAGAGGCTAAGACAACATAAAATGTGCATGTTCTAAAACAAATTTGAGCAAGACTTCGTCAAATGTGTTTGGATAATCTACATAAAAAATTATAAATGGAGATACATTAGCTAATTTCACTATAGCAAGCATAGACAAATGGTGGGTCTAAATAGAAAAGTATTGGTAGGAATAGAAAAAGAAATAAAAAATATAATAATAATAATAAATGTTTTGTAAACAAATAGGAAAAATAACTATTATATAGCTTTGCTTTTGTAACTTAACTTATAAACAAACACATAGCTCTATTATTGACATTGCTTTTATTCATGGTTGACTTATAGTACCTGTTTCAAATTATAAGTTACTTTTGATTTTTTTTTCATCCATTTTACTGTGTATCTAGATATATTATTATATAAGTATGTATCATCGAAAAGTCCCCCACTGCTATTTCTATACTAGTTTTTAGATTTTTCTTCTTCTTCGATGTCAATTCGGCTGACTAGAAAAATAGTTAATACTGATGCTGATACTGATATGTTATGACAGACAAACAATGTTATTCCACTAAAAATGTACGAAGCGGGGCTAAGATCGAGAAAGATATGTCCATGAGTCCATCCGCAAAAATCGTACTACAAAAATCATGGCAAAAATAGCTGGCATCACCAACAAATCTATGCACAGTGGAATGGCAGAACGCTTCGAAACAATCGAGGTAAGCAGGTCCATGTGCGAAGATCAGAGGAAGCTTCGAGGTCCTGTGGTAGCCGATGGGGCCTGTCAGAAGGAAGAGAATCGGGTGGAAGCAAAGACCCGCCTCGCCTTCTCAAGATCCCGGTCGCTGTGCAGCCTCCCCATCACCGACGCCACCGTGGAACCATTGGCCGGCGCAACGACGGCGTCCCCTGCCACGTCTATGCGCACCTCCGGCTGCGCCCCGCCCTCGGCTGGCGCGGACGGCGCGGCGACGCCCGGCGCCACGACGACGTTGGCGCGGCAGAGCGGGCACGTGGCGTTCCCGCGGAACCAGGCGTCGATGCACTCGACGTGGAAGCGCGCGGGCCTTCTCCCCTGGCTCGAGCTCCGCGAGGCAGACCGCGCAGTCCCGGCCGTTCCCCGTGCCCGCGTCGATCAGCACTACCGGTATCGTGGCGAGCACCGCCGGGTCGAGGCCGCGTGGGGAAGGTGCCCCCGCGCCGTCGCCGTCGCCGTCGCCGTCGCGGCGGTCCTCGTCGCCACCACCGGCGATGGCCAGGCTCCGGAGCAGCCGCCGCTGGCCGCCGAGGCGCCGGCGCCGGGTGCTGCTGTAGAGGTGCAGCGCGACGAGCGCCAGGAGCACGCCCGCGAACGCCCCCGCCACGGCGAGCAGGATCTTGCCAGCGATGGCGTAGTTAGCCGGGTCGGACACCTGCTGCGGAGGGTCGGGGACGACGTGCGGGCGCTTGGACAACGGGCCAAAGCCGTCCAACGCCGCATGGCCGGGACTCCCGTTGCACGGGATCATCTCGTTCGTCTTGGGGCCCGTGCCGTTGCCGTTGCCGTTGCCGTCGCCGGCGCCCATGTCTGATGGTTGAGCGCTCGCCGAACTGAGCTGTGGTTTCGCGGAAGATTTGGGTGTCCGCAGCGTGATGAGTTGGGTGAGCGCAGTTACTTATACGTGATTTCAGGACTGAAATACCCTTGTTAATGTTGGAAAAATGGGATGGAGATGGAAGGGTAGCCTTGGGTTTTTACCATTGGCTGGACGTCTGGGGCACGCTGGAGAACGGAGAGGCAGCAGCACTGCAGCAGTCCGTCTCCGTTCCCCGTGCTGACTGGCTGACCGCCCGTATGCCGTGGGACGGCCGTGATGCGTCCGCCGCGCGGGTCCAGACGCAGGGTCAAGAGTAGAGTTGACTAACTAGCATCAACCAACCAGGTGTTACTGTGCGCTCGTCTCCTCTCCTATTCACACACAATCACAGTGGAAGTCGCTCTCTTTACGCCCGTTCAGCTGGCTATAAAAAAGCTGACGCTGATGCTGATTTTTTATGAGAAAAAATATTATTATTTCGCTGAAATAGTATAGTTGATAAATTCAAGCGAATAGGGACTTAGCTACCCCCACTGGAACATGCAAGTTGTCGCTTGCTGCGACTTGGACCTGGTCAGCGGTCACCTGGGCAAAATTTCCTGGGGGCTGGGGGCCAGACGGCGAGAGGCAGCGCGAGGGCGTGGAGCCGTGGATGCGTGGTCGGCCCTGGCCGATCGACCCATGAAGCTTCTCGGAAGCGAGGCGCCCGTTGTCGCGACGCCAGCCACGGCACCCGGCAGTGGCGCTGGACCGTGACTTCTGGGCTGTGTCGGCTCCCGGCGCGCGCAGCATGAGTTCTGCTCGACCCAATCCGGGACCGCCAGGCCTACACGGATCGGGACCGGCATGTAATAAAAATGGCGCTGATAGGGAAGGAAGATGGTCCCAAAAGGCTATTTAGCGGCAGCTTATTCAAAAACTAAAATAATTGAAATGTGACAAATCAATGTGGCAAATCATTGTTGATTTAATAATTGAAATGACATGAAGCCATGAATTGAACCTATATGTGCTAAAATGGTTCAAGTCATATGTTCAAGCAGGACTTGGTCAAATATTGAAACAAAACTGGTTGCAACCCTTGTGAATATATATTATGGAGAAACAACATATGAAGACTCTAGCAAACTAAGACGTTTTTAATTGATTTTATTTCATGTCTCGAATATCGTGCGTCGTATCATCAAGAGGGATGCAATTTTGAGTAGTTTGACAAGTCTTGTGCGCAAATGAACCAAACCCAAGTGTTAACTTGAAAGCAACACTTAATTATATAAAATTTACAATATTAAATAATAAAATAATAACTTTTATAATATTAAATAATAACGTTCCATTTATAACATCAAATAAGTATTATTATATTCTTCATTAATTATATTTTTATAGTATATCTATTTGATGTCATGAATCTTTATAATTCTCTCTATAACTTTGGTTAAACTTGGGATGCTTTGACTCTACAAGAAAGTTAAAATAACTTATAATTTGGAATGGAGTGAGTATAAACAAAAAAGCCAAAACCCCATGACATTGTGCACGCAGCGTGAGAAATAAAAATGTATTGTAATTTTTTTTTTGGGTAAAATACATTTTCACCATCAAACATGCGAGGCTGATTTTTAATCTTAAGCCACGAAAGCGTGTAACAGACACCCTCAAATTATCAAAATCGAACAAATTTAGTCCTCATAACGGTTTTAAAGGTGGTTTTCTATTTTTATCAAAATAGTAAAAATCTAATTTACTATCTAAAAATTCATACATAATTTATTTTAAATCAGAAAAATGTGAAATTAGTACTGTTTTATTTTTGTAAATGTTCTGTACTTGTTTATTATCTATATATGGGTATCTAGAATTAGTTTATTTCTATTCTTATTACTTTATTGATCGTAGTTGCATTCATTATTTATTCAAAACAATTAGGATTCGAATAACTTTAAATATAGCAAAATCAGATAGATGATATTTTAGAGGTAAAATGGAAGTAGTTTCATATTTTTATGATTTAAAATAAATTAATTATGAATTTCTAGAGATTAAATCATATTTTTTATTATTAGAAAATAGAAAATTCATTATGAGACCTGTCAGAGTAGTAAATTTGTTCGGTTTTAAAAGTTGGAGGGTGTGTGCTACTCGGTCTCATACTTCAAGGTTGAAAATCGAAGTACGATGTAAGTTAGAGGTTAAAAAATGTGCTTTATCTTAGTTTTTTTTGGCAACCAGTTTCAACGTCTCCACACCCAGAACCTTAGTTCCAGGGCGCCTAACTCTTTTCACCACGTCGACCATACATTGCATACGAATATGCTTGTCCAATTGGTGCTACCGTGCTAGCCTACTTTCTTGAAAGAGGACCGAAGACTAAGAGTTGAGTCGTCACGCCAATGGATGAACAACATTGACGGACGGCATTGCGCGCGTAGGCTGGGATTTCCGGGGCCTCGTTTAGATTGGGTTAGAAATTAGTATTTGGCACTGTAGCATTTTTGTTTGTATTTGACAATTATTGTCTAATCATGGCTCTAATTAGGCTTAAAAGATTCGTCTCGTAATTTACAATCAAACTGTGTAATTAGTTATTTTTTTATCTATATTTAATACTCCATGCATGTGTTCAAAAATTTGATGTGATGAAGAAAGAGTGAAAAAACTTGCAATCTCAAGGCCCTAGTTTGCAAACTGGGCAGCGGGCGCAGTTACCGAAGAGCACGCAGCCTGCAGGGCAACAGGCAGGTAAATCACTGGCCATCCTTTTCGATCGAGGCCACGTTTAGTTCGGCCGATTCGGCGCGACCGAATCACTGCAGTGTCGTTTTATTTTTATTTGATAATAATTGTCCAAACGTTAACTAATTAGGTTCAAAATGTTCGTCTCGTAAAGTACAACCAAACTGTGCAATTAGTTTTTGATTTCGTCAATATTTAGTACTTCATACATGTACCGTAAATTTGATGTGACGAGAAATCTTCTTTTTGCATAGTGCCAAATTCTAGAAAATGGGGAACTAAAGATGGCCCGAGTTGTTTCCTTTTGTGGCGAATTGTCGTGAAATTTGATTCAAAAGGGTCTGTTCGCTGGATTAAATCTTAACAAATCTGAAGAAATTTATAGAAAAGTAAACAGTATTTTCAAGCTGTAAACAGTATTTTCACGGCTGACTTTCTTTCATGTCAGCCGAAGGGACCCGACAACTCCGTGGATGCCCCCTGCTCTCATCGTTTGGGTGAGCAGCATTTGGACTGGAAGCACATTAAATCAATGGGAAATTCCTTGTGTATCAAAAAAAAAGATTACAATACTCTGTATATTTTTGGAAAAGTTCAGTGGTCTTCAACGTCATTGCTCTAACTTTTTTGTGCTCTCTACACCACTGCCGTCAGTTTGGGCTCTAACGCTGTCAAACTGCAGATATAAAAAGACGAAAATATCCTTAAGTCTAAATATATCATTAATTTTTTTAAGCATCTTAACGACTTCAAATGAAAAAACTCAAAACTAGAAAGTTGTAGATCTCGTCGAGATCTATAATTTTCATATAAAAATTATCTTCATTTAATTCCGCAAAAAAAGATATAATTTTTCTAAGATATATTAATCATATCAAATCATATTTTTTTACAGAATTAAATAAAGATAATTTTTATATAAAAATTATAGATCTCGACGAGATCTATAACTTTCTAGTTTTAAGTTTTTTTATTTGAAGTCGTTAAGATGCTCAAAAAAATTAATGATATATTTAGATTTAAGAATATTTTTGTCTTTTTATATCTACAGTTTAACGACGTTAGAGCCTAAACTGACGGCAGTGACAAGGAGAGAAAAAAAAATTAAAACAATAATATTGAAGACCGCTGAATTTTTTTTTGAAAGGCACACGGAACGTTACACTCTTTTTTTTAATGGCACGCAAGGACCGCGTACTAAATGTTTGCTTTTTCCTTTTTGATAAGATTTTGTCTTATAGTAGTTTCGTTGCCCACGCACTGAGGCACGGCCGGACGGCCCTGTCCGGCTCCGGCGGCCGCCATCCTCCACCTCAGCACGTTGAGGCGCGGCCCCGCCACAGGATCGTTGCCCGCTGCCATCTGGGTTCTGGCCTCCTCTTCTCACTTCTTGGTTAGGATTCCTCAAGTCTCGTCTCGTCTCCCTGCGATAGACTGCGGAAATCAGGGAGCTTCAGATGCTGCGGCCCTGAATCATGTGGTGGCTTGGCGGCGATGGCGCTTCGAATCGACGGCACCCTTCACCAATCCACAGGCACAGGGGCGGACCCAGAAAAATTTTCCACAAGAGCGAGCCAGCGAGGTCGACTCGTTCGCGGTTCGCCGAAGCTCTGATGGCTGCAAAGCCATCGGTACCTTGGACGAGGCGGCGATGGAGGACAACCCTACTGCTTCAGTAAGCTGAAATGCTCTTGTATTTGCCCCGTGTGCTACACTGTCACTTTCTCGCTCATAACTTGCGTGTTTTGGGCTTAACAAAAATTCTCTTATAGTAATAACGACTACTGAAAATTGACATATGGTTTCGCAGGATCTGCTTGAACTACAGATTTTATTGACTGACTTCGATATGTCAGTTAGTTTGGATGCATGCGTTTTAACAAGAGAAAATTCCTTCTTGATCCTAAAAAGAGCTCGGCTTCCTTTCTTGGCCCTTTTAGATTTGATTTGGCCTGGAATCTAACTTTCTTTCCTTACATGACCCTTCTGTCAGAATTGGTCATTAACGGTGTTAAGTAGGGGATGAAATGGCGATTTTACCCTGAGCGAAACAGGTAAGTTCAGTTTTAGTATATTTCGTTTCAAGAATTATTTAGACTACTTTTGTATGGTTTAAGGTCATCATAATTGAACAAAATAAGGTACAAATTATTTTTGAGCGTGGAAGCATAACGAAAATAGTCTAAATAATCCTCAAAATGTGATATACGAAGACTAAACTTACCTATTTTGCCCAGGGGTGAAATCGCCATTTCGTCCCCCACTTAACACTGGTAGTGGCCAAATCTGACGGAAGGGCCATATAAGTAAGGAACGTTAGATTTCGGGCCAACTAGGTAACTTCGAATCTAAAAGGGATAAGGAAGAAAGCCAAACCATTTTTAAGCCCGAGGAATGAATTTTCTCTTTTAACAAATTGTGTAAAAAACCCTGTCATCTCCGACTGTTAGTTTCCTGTTGATCATTCCGATAGTAACTGATTTTAGTTTGTTAGGATGTTGTATTAAAAAGTAGGAAAATCCAAGAGGGTACTGTACTAGTCTATAGGAAAATCCTCAAGGTTAGATTAGCCAAGTGTTTAGCGCCTGCCGCTATCCAAAGGCCAAAAATATGCCTTTTCCTTGATTTTCCAAGAGAGCACATGATTAGAACATTAATAACGAGTTTGGATGAAATTAGAATGTTGTTCTGGAAAGAAAACATTTTTCACTTTAATTTCCTTGTCCTTTTCCTTCATGTCCTGCTCATTGGTCGGTTGAACTTTTAGTTTTCAAACGCACACGAATGCTAACTTTATTAGGAGAAGATGTTCAGAACCAGTTGGAATCTGATGCACATATGAACACAAAAATATAAAATCACTGTCTGCAATAGGAGATACAAAATAATCATCATGGTGTACTGTAAAACATATCCATTTGTGATCCGGAAATCAGGTAAAGTATATCTTTTCATTCTCCACTACATTCAGATTTCACATTTTCGCAACTTTCCCATGTGCTTGTTTTTAGTTGAATGTCAAATGTTTCTGTTCACGAAAACAACATTAAAATTCTCTTAAAAAAATAATTAAAATTGCAATGACCATGGTGGCAATATTTATCATTTTTATGCAGGCAAGCATAATTCACTACATTCTATCGGTTGTATTGGTATGTTTATGGATTACCAAGGGAATAATCTTAGAGACTTCCTTAAAAATAATGGCCATGTGGTGCTTCAGAGAGTGAACAACTATAATTTGAGATCTTTCACGAAAAAAGAGATAGAACAAATTACCAATGGATATAGCACTTTGCTAGGAAAAGGAGCATTTGGTGAGGTTTACAAAGGAGCATTAGATGATCAATTTCTGGTGGCAGTAAAAAAGTACAAAGATGGAACGAGGAAAGAAGAGTTTGCCAAAGAGGTGATAGTGCACTCTCAAATAAACCACAAGAATGTGGTGAGGCTTTATGGTTGCTGTACCGAGGAAAATGCTCTGATGATTGTTATGGAATTTATTTGCAATGGAAACCTTAACAGCATGCTTCACTGCCGCAATGCTAATGACCATGTTCCCTTCCCTTTGGATAAGCGTTTGGACATTATTATCGAGTTAGCTGAAGTACTATCGTGTATGCATTCAATGTATAGTCCTGTTCTTCATGGTGACATCAAACCTGCTAATATACTGCTTGATGAAAATCTTGTGCCGAAGTTATCAGATTTTGGAATAGCAAGGTTGCTTTCTACTAATGAGGCCCAGCAAACCAATAATATCATTGGTTCCATAGGTTACCTGGATCCTTTGTTCAATCAGACTGGAATTCTAACTCCTAAGAGTGATGTATATAGCTTTGTAGTTATTTTAGTGGAGATGATCACCAGAAAGAAAGTGGTGCATGGGGATATTAACTTAATTCAAAATTTCACTAACTCCCTCAGAAGAGGGAAAGCGGTGAGAAGAATGTTTGATGATGAAATTGTGGATGGAAAAAAGAACATAAAGGTGCTTGAAGATATTGCAAAGCTAGCAGCTGAATGCTTGAGATTGGAGAACAGGCTGCGTCCAGAAATGGTTGAAGTAGCAGATAGACTAAGGAAATGTAGAAAAGATCTGCAGCCGCAGAGAAGAGGAGAAAGGACCGGGTCCTCAGTACAGCTGGGGTCTCCAGGTGATGAAATGTAAAAATAATATGTTTTTACTTAATATAGGACTAAAATGTAAATGTAAAAATAATACGTACAGCTAGTCATCTGGCCCATGGTACACCTAGCATATGCTGCAAAGTGTTAACACAAAATCATTTCTACTGAAGTATATTAGATTTTTTATAGTAAATCCAATTTTCTCTAATGCAGGTGGCTACTTCTTACCTGCACAGCTAACTACCCCTATTCCTGTTGACCCCAGTATAAAAAATCCACCTACTCCAGTATTGAATATTACCCTGGCTGGACTAAGGGAAATAACTAGGAACTTCAGTGATGATACTCTAATAGGAGAGGGATCACATGCTAAAGTTTTCCTTGGAGAGCTGAAAGATGGCCGAAAATCTGCGGTGAAGAAGCTTGGCCAGAATCCTGTAGTGAAGAACCTTGACGGGTTTTTTTCTGAGCCTGATGAAGAGTTCGTACTTCAGGTGGTGGCTGCCTACCTTGCCTTTTAATCAACACTATGCTAGCACTTCTGTCGCAAGAAGGGCTTCTATATTCCTCTTTTGGCCTTGTTTGGATGCCCATGTATCCACCTCAAATCCTCAATCCATGTGTGTTGGGGTGGTTTGGTGTGGAATTTAAACAAATTCCACACCAAACCACCCCAACACACATGGATTGAGGATTTGAGGTGGATACATGGGCATACAAACAAGCCCTTTGTGTCTGAGAAAATCCTATATTCCTCTTCTGTTACAGGTTCAGACTGTTTCAAGACTGAACCATGATAATGTTGTCCAACTTCTTGGCTACTGTGTTGATGGGAACGTCCGCGCTCTTATTTATGAGTATTCATCAAGGGGCTCCTTGCATGATATTCTTCACGGTGATGAACAATGAAACCTTTATTTCTATGTCTCTTAAGTTTATTGCTTGGTGCATTCTGGTATGCTTCATGATAAGCAGCTAGCTGCCATTGTTCGTGAACAGAAATGCAGAATGGTATGAAAAACATCGATATGTTATATCAACTTATTTCTTGATCCATGCAGTTGCTTGTTCTATTTTAATATTACATATTCATGAAGATTGACATATGCTGCCTAGGGGATCCTTGTACGATGATAATAATGAATACTCTATTTATGGATCCTCTTTCTTTTTTTTCTTCCTTCTGCTTCACTTCATGCATTCAAGTATGTTTCATGAACAGAGAGGCATCAGATATATGTTGAGATGTTATATGGTGACCTGTGCAATCGGATGGTTGTTTTGCTGTACATTAATTACTGTTCTTTTTGTGGTTTAGGACTCAATTTCAGACAACTAGAATTGAAATGTCTTTGCTGTCATCATCTGTGGACCACCAAATTTTAGGCTCAGGAAAACAGCAAATTTTGGGCACAGTTTTTGCAACTGCCAAACACACGTCAACTACTTCTATTCAATCATAGATGGGATAGACATAGACTATGTTGATCACATTTCTCCATTGCTTTTAATATTCTAATTTAGTGTTTAGAGGCAATATGGGTTCTGCAACGAATCTGATATTCTTGTGGTTCATGATCAAAGGAACAAATGCTGCCATGGGAACCCGACAAGGACCAGTTCTGTCATGGACCCAACGTGTGAAGATTGCCTTAAGTGCTGCACTGGGGATTGAGTTCCTCCATCATAAGACAGAGCCTTGCATCATTCACGGTGACATCAAGTCCAGCAACATTCTCCTCTTTGATAATGATGTTGCAAATATTGGAGACCTTCTTGTGTCCAAAAACCGCCCCGGTTACTTAGATGATCTTATTTTGGATTGTGTTATTCCTTCCCGTAATGGTTATGATGCACCCGAGTATGTAACCTAGTATTGTAGTGCTTTCATATTCTTCCACTATGCTTGGGATCTGAGTCTCAGAGACGGCACGCACTGATGTACTCATACTTTCTATTAGGTATGAAGCAACTGGAGAGTTTACCAGGGAGAGCGATGTATTTAGCTTTGGGGTTGTGCTGTTGGAGCTTTTAACCGGTCGCATATCAGGGTATTCCCAGAAGAGCCTCATGATACGGGTACGTAGATGTGCAACCAGAGGCATAATCTCTCTGGAAGACGATGCAGCAGCTGAACTACTTATGGTTTGATATGCAGCCTATGCTAGGGACTTAGTGAAGACATGGTGCAACAACGTGCGGATCCAAGGCTTGGAGGAAAATACCCTCCCAAGGCTGCCGCAAGGGTAAAATTATATTCTTTGTCAGCAAGCCATTTTTGGCGGATAGTTTGGGTTTCACTTCACATTCTGCAATGTCACTTTTTTTTTCATGTCTCACAAAAGATATATTCACAATTTTTGTGTGCCTTTAAAGATACTTCGAGACTATCTGTTTAGTCTAAATTTAAGATGAAACATATTGGCAAAAGTTTCTTCAGATTTTTTTTATAAGGATTCTTCAGACTTAAACAGCTCTTTCTTCTTTATAACATTTCAGAAAAAACATATGGTCGCCTTTTTTGAACATAAAATAGGGTATGTCTCCTTATGAGATAAGACCATTTTAAATTTTATATGTGAAACTTACTTTAGAATAATTTCACCTTTAACTGTATAAGAAGGGCTAAGCCGGGATATGCTTATGAGATCCATTACTTCAGTCTTACATTATTGACTTGTTAGGGTGAGGGATTTTTTGTGTGTAAAAGCAAAGGTGGATACATGTTATTGTACATACATATAAATCATATTCTTCTGTGCTAAAATTGATATTATGTGTTCAACTTTTTTGTTACTGGCTTCTTCATAGTTGTTAGAGTACGTCGTGGGCCGACTGAAGAAAGCGAGGGGTCCAGCATCCTTGTGGAGGACGGCGCCGAACCCCGCGCCAGACGCGTCGCAGTCCACAATGAAGGCCTTGTCGAAGTCCGGCATCTGAAGCACTGGCCCGTGGACAGGGTGCGTTTTAGCGCCTGGAAGGCTGTCTCTGCCTCGTCGTCCCAGGCGAAGGCATCCTTGCACAGCAGCCGTGTCAAAGGGGCTGCTATGGTGCCGAAGTCACGGATGAACTTCCGGAAGTAGCCGGCAAGCCCCAAGAAGCCGCAGCAGACCGCGGGCGGAGCGTGGCGCCGGCCATGACGCGACTGCAGCCACCTTGTCGCTGTCCATAGCGACGCCATCTGAGATCACATGGCCGAGGTAGGCGACCGACGACGTCCCGAATGAACACTTGGAGCGCTTGAGATGGAGGTCATGCGCCCGCAGCGCGTCGAGGACGATGTTGAGGTGCTGCAAGTGTTCACCCCACGACGAACTGTAGATGAGTATGTCGTCAAAGAACACAAGGATGAACCTGCGTAGGAAGGGGCGAAGCACATCATTCATCAAGGCCTGGTATCAGCGATGTCAGGCCCTCCTCCCACCACCACCCTGCCGCCCCCAGCCACCACATCTGCGTTGCCAGTCACCACTTCCCCGCTGCCTGTTACTTCAGCACCGGCTGCACCTTCGTCGTCGACGCCGGACCAATTGGCTGCGGTGGTCGCCGATCTTGCCCGCTCCGTCGCCGCCATCTAGTCCTACCTTTTCAGCATGCAGTCGCGCAACCGGCCAGCTGGTCGCTGCCGCAATCGACCGTGGCCTCCCTGCAGCAGGTTTTCCCCTATGGGCTGCCCGGTTCCGGGACGCCGACGTCGTTGTTCCAGGGCGTGCAGCCGACCGCCCCGGTTCCCATCCATCAGCTGCGGATGCCGCCTTCTCTTTCGCCGATCTCGTCTTATGCCTTGGCACCGACGATGAGGCTGGTGTACACGATGGCGAGTGCCCCGACGGCCACGACGAGGGTCGCTCCAGCACCCACCACCGGCGCCGTGGTCCTTCACGGTGGACCCCAAGTCACCGATGGGACCTTCTATGGGGCGCTGATGGTCCCGTCTTCTACGGTGGCAGCTCGTCGCCTGGCCACCCTAGCGCATCGCCGTCCTCGGGCAACGCTTCCGAGCTAGCAGTACACGGTGCCGGCCAGGGCACATCCTCCGTGCTTCTACAAGCTGGAATTCACGACCTACGATGGCGCCGAGGATCCCCTGAATTGGCTCAACCATTGTGAGCAGTTCTTCCGTGGTCAGCGCACCCTGGCCTCGGACCGCGCCTGCCTCGCGTCGTATCATCTGACCGGCGCGGCCCAGACGTGGTACTATGCCCTCGAGCAGGATGAGGGCATGCCTTCCTAGGATCGCTTCAAGGAGCTCTGCAATTTTCTCTTCGGGGCCGGCAGTTCGTGGCACCCGCCTGTCCGAACTCGCCCGGCTGCCCTTCACGTCAACGGTCCAGGAGTTCTCTGACTATTTCAATGCTGTCCTCTACCATGCCCGCAACTTGTTAGCCCCCTAGAAGGCGGAGTTGTTTGTGGGCGGCCTCCCTGAACACATCAAGGTGGATGTTGAGCTACGCGACCCCCTGGATCTTCAGACGACCATGCATCTTGCGCGGGCTTTCGAGCGCGGTGCCCAAGGCCATGACGCCTGCCACAGCCCAACGTGGGGCGTGGCCACCGCAGCGCCTAGGATTACCAATGCCTTCCTGTCCAGCTCTGGCTGCACCAGCAGGCACTGGCGCCCCTCTAGCCTTGCCCACGCCACCAACAGCGGCTGGCCCATCAGCTCTAAGCCGTCCTTTTCGTCGCTTGACGCCGACTGAGCAGCTCGAACGTCGTCGTCAAGGGCTCTGTTACAACTGCGACGAGCCATATGTCCACTGTCATCAGCGCCGGCGGCTTTTCTACTTGGAGTCTGTCGATTACCTCGACGACACTGTCCCTGCTGAAGTGGCGGCCGTGGCTGCGTTCCCAGAGGAGGCTGCTGCCCCTGAGGTCACGCTTGATGCGATAGTTCCTCCGACGGTCTCCCTCTACGCCATAGCCACCATTCAGACGGAGAACGCCATGCACCTCCTTGTCTATGTCCACGGCCACCGTCTATTGGCGCTTCTCGACTTCGACTCCACGCATAACTTCATCGACGCTGACCTCATGCGCCGCCTTCGCCTGTCCACAGCACCGCATCCCACCATGCGGGTCTTGGTGGCCAACGGGGACCGTGTTACTTGTGAAGGGGTCACCCGTGACGTGGCGCTGGCCATCGGCACGGAGGAGTTTTCCATCAGCTGCTTTGGCATCAACCTCGGCGGCTTTGATGTCATCCTCGGCGTCGACTTCCTTCGCACGCTCGGTCCTATCCTCTTGGATTTCGAGGACCTCTGCATGGCCTTCACCAGAGGATCTCGACGCATCCTGTGGAAGGGTCTTGGGCTCCCCCCGCGACGATATTAGGGAGCCGGCCGCTCGGGCGGTCACGGCTGCTCCCACGCAGCCCCTGCTAGACCGTCTGCTTCTATAGTACACAGTGGTCTTCGAGGAGCCCGGCGGCTGCCACCGGCCTAGCCATACGACCACCGCATCCACCTCCTGTCGGGAACAGCACCAGTAGCCATCCGTCCCTACCGCTACCCACAGCTGTAGAAGGACGAATTGGAGCGCCAGTGTACCACCATGCTCGCCCAAGGCATCATCAGGCCGAGCGCATCACTGTTTTCCACCACCATGCTCGCCCAAGGCATCATCAGGCCGAGCGCGTCACTGTTTTCCACCCCGGTTCTCTTGGTGCGGAAGGTGGACGCATCGTGGCATTTCTGTATCGACTACCGAGCTCTCAATGCCAAGACCGCCAAAGACAAGTTCCCCATCTCGGTGGTTGATGAGCTCCTCAACGAGCTCCATGGAGCGCGTTTCTTCACCAAGCTTGACCTTCGTTCAGTTACCACCAAGTGCGCATGCACCCCAGGGGACATTGCCAAGACGGCGTTCCGCACACATCACGGGCACTTCGAGTTCTTGGTGATGCCCTTCGGCCTCTCCAATGCGCCATCCCAGGCCCAATAGGCCCAATGACGTACTCTTGTACTAGCAGAAAGAAAAATGAACGCACGAGCGTAGAAGTGAAAGAACAACCTGGTTTGAAACAGAAATCTTTTAGCAGGAGCGGGAACTGTCATGGGCCTATTGGGCCTGGGCTGGCGGTATAACCCGCTAGTGTGAGGACTAATTAGAGATAAGGGTCACTTGCTTAAGGGTCAAGTAAGCCTGGGAGTCAAGTAAACCTCTCTATATAAGGAGAGGAGATGTATCAATCTAGTCGAGCAAAAATTAAAAAGGAAAACCTTCCCTCTTGCTCGGCCGTGGGCAAGGCCCCCGGCCGGCCTCCTATCTCCGTCGCAGCCCCAGCCGCCACAATCCTGTGTATGAACAGTAGCACCACGGTACTGTAGCACGTCAAACGTCACCGCTCCCTCGGCTCCCTCCCTCTCAGTCCTAGCAGCCACCTAACAATAGTGTACAGGCAACAGCTTTTTGGACCAGACTCTTGATTGAATTTTTTATGGACAATTGAGTAAAAGTATCTACAGTAATTAATTGTATGATTTAGTAATTGACGTATAACTGAAATTGGTATTAAGGCCTGTTTCGCCAAGCTATGCTTAAGTTTTTAGATCTTGAGCCTAATTTCTGAAGAAGCCCCGCTCCCAGAGAAGCTGATTTAGTTGTTGAGCCAGAATTATTCCGAGCCTTATAGGGAGAAGAGGCAAACGCTTCACACTGGTTGCTTTTTCCTTGTGGTCTATTTGGGTTTAACAAATCAAGGCTTCGCAATTCATAGCCTTGGGTGTTTGGTGACTTAGTCGGAATTTCCGGCCGCTTAGTCGAATATGCAGTGGTGTTCTCTCCGACGAATGTCCATACAATACCACAATCTAACTCGTGTCTTCCATATTTATTTTGATACTTATCAAACGTCACAGTATTTGTTGATTCTTCATGTTAAGAGAGAAAATTTAGCTTGGTTGCAACTTGCAACAGGACTGCATATATATACATAAACCAACGAATTTCTGTTTTGGCTAGCAGATGGCTGCAATTGCGTCCCGCTGTGTGCAACACAGGGCGGACTCCCGGCCCAGCATGAGTATGATCGTTAACGATCTGCGCTCCTTACTGCAAAGCACGCCAAGCTACCTTTGGTTTCGTTGAAGCTTTTGGAGTGTGACGCATGCCTTTTCTCCAACAGTTACATCTGCATGTGATGCGATTTAGTCAAATTTCTTGTGGCATGGAGCTTCA